TCCTCTTCCTGCTTATGCTGATAATCTTGCGCAAATCTATCCAAAGCGTGTAACTCATGGTATAATTCCTGATGCCATAAAAATTGATTTTCCAATATCTTTCAGAATTAAATCCCACAAAAAAAATGAAGTATATGTGTATGTGTATATATATATATATATATATATATATATATGAGAATTGAGAAGACAAGGTATTGAAAGGAACCTCTCGAAATGGATGTTCATCGGCTTCAAGCATCCTCACAACTTGACTCATTTTAGGCCTCTTGTCTGCATCAGGATCAATACACTTAAGTGCAACCAAGAGAGCACGCTTCAAAGCACGTGCTGGTGGTTTAACTTCAAGGCTTGAGTCCACTACTTCTTCAGCCCTCCTTGTCCCCACCATCATTTTGAGCCATTCAACTAGATTAACCTGTCATAATGAGTATAAACTAAATCTCATCAGCTATTTGAATGGCAGCGGTCATTTCTGGTGGAAAGCATGGTTAGAACTTGCAAGCTAGCAGAGTTCATAAGTGTTAGGCACCTCGGTAGCAGGACGTGAATAGTCTACAGGGTCCCTTCCAGTTACTGCTTCAAGCAAGAGGACGCCAAAGCTGTAAATGTCACTCTTCTCATTTAACAAACCACTGTTAGCATATTCCGGTGCCACATAACTGAAAATTCACAAGAAAAATGAGTTCCCAAGTGTAAAACTATAAATCCATTAGTCAAAAAAAAAAAAAAGGAAAGAGAAAATGACATATTCTGCTTACCCAAATGTTCCCATTACTCTAGTGGTTATGTGACTTTCTCCTGAATCCAGAAGTTTGGCCAGACCAAAATCAGAAACCTTTGCATTGAATTCATCATCAATCAATATGTTGCTAGACTTTATATCTCGGTGAATAACTTTTGGTTCAATTGCTTCATGTAAATAAGCAAGCCTGCCACCAGTAACAATAAAATGAGGGGTTAATTAGTGGGGCAAGGTCCATTGTTGAAACCTCCATAAAGATAAATTCTTAACTAATTAAGAAGTAAAATATTTAAACAACAGTAGATCACATGCTAACTAATTAAGAAGTAAAATATTTAAACTACAGTAGGTCACGTGCTCAGAACCCATTCCATCCAAAAGTGCTTCTTTTCTCCACACCCCGCCCCCCACAAAAAAAAATAAATAAATAATAAAATAAAAATAGGGGGTATGGGGTTGGAACCAGTTTCTTTTTTTTTTTTTAATTCCTCTCCATCATAATATTCAAACAACGCAATTGTAACTTTATTCCATTCCATTCTAGTCTATCACATATCCAAACATAGTTTAAGATTAAGAAACTTAGTCAATGCCCATTGCAAGAGCGCACATTGCTATTTAGTCTGAAAACCTAATCTGCTGAAAGATACCGCAAACTATAAGAAAAATTAAAGTCTATAACATGATATTATCAAAAAAACACAGATTAACAGACAATAGTGTTTATGATGTATTTTGACATGCACAAAATTACAAATAGTAAAAACATTAATTAAAGAAACACAAAATAATTTTACAATCAAAATTCAGAGATGAGAGATTAATGACAAGTATACCGAGTGTTTTGGCACCAGACTACACAAACGGTTACCATGGCCAATATTTTTAAGTTGCACGCTGAACTTACGCTTTGGCTGTGCCAAGTATAACTTTCATTCGGGCCTCCCAGGTAAGTGCCCCATGTTGGTGCATGTCCCCATGTAACCATTGTTCTAAGTTACCATTGTTCACATATTCGTACACAAGCAGCCTGAATATCAAATGGGAAGTACATTCATTATAACAGATAAAGAGACATAATATAGAGAAAAGCTTCTGTTTAATTTCAGACCTAGGAATCTAGGAGAATGACTTTTTTTTTGCAGGGGGCTAAAATTAAGACAAGAAACAACCTCACGCAAGATCAAAGTCAACCACCAATCTCTTTGGGGATTTCCAGTAGGATTATAGATCACCTACCTCATTCCTAGAGCAAGTTCACATGAAATAATATAAAACACAAAAGAAATTGGATTCAATCCCAAATTCTAGCTAGTAGGAGCAAAGGGACTTAACCAACTGTGTCACCTTTGTGGGGTGAAGAATATGACTATCTAAACACAAAGCTTGCCCTATTATTGAGAATGGACTTGTGAGAGTGTGCATATAACATGGAGTGGATACTTTTGTTGAAAAACAAAGAAAAAGTTTACCTGTGAACTCCTTCTACACAATATCCAAGAAGGCGCACAAGATGCTTATGTCTAACATGTCCTATAGCCTCGACTTCAACCCTGAATTCTTTCTCAGCTTGTCCCCTGTGAACTCAATGTAGAACTCAATTAAATAACAAGATTAAAAAGAAGCCATTGTTTACATATAGTGTAAGAAAGTGCCAGAAAAAAAAAATTAAAGAGTACAGCAATGACAAAATAAATATCCTTACAAGTTGTTAAGAAGCTTCTTCACTGCAACCTCAGTTTCATTAACCAGTCTGCCCTTGTACACAATCCCATATCCACCCTCACCAATAATGTTCTCAGTTGAGAAACGATTGGTTGCCATTTCCAGATCCCTAAGTGTAAACCAGTGGCCCCACCCAAGATGAGAAAACTCTGGCAAGCCAACTAAAGGAGAGGCAGTTGCCAGCGCTCCATGAGATGATATAGATTGCTTCTTAGCATTCCCAGAACTTCCTTCTTCCGCCGACAATGAACTAAGTCCTCTCTCATGATGATAAATTGAGCTGCACTGACTGATATTATCAGGATCACCGGATTTTCTCTTTCCCAAATGAAGCGACATGTTATCTGAATTGTAATCACTTGCCTTGTCATGAACAGGAATAAGCACATTTTCTGGTTGAACATGAGAACTCTGCACTCCAACTTTGTCAACATCAATATCTTTTGAGACATTCGGTATTTGGGATATAGAATGCTTCTCCAGAGATCTCCTAGACTTTCTCCGAAACATCACCCATACGGATAATATACAAAGAATCAGCACTATAAATGCACCAACACCTATCCCTAGCAAAACCCATCGTTTCAAACCCAAAAAAGACGTCTTCTTTGACAATTCAACATTCAAAGAACTGTTGGATGACATAATTGTTTGCACCAAGCCAATCAATATCGTTACCGCAAGTTCTTCAGCTGGTAGAACCAGGACATTCCCACCCGAGTACACGAATTCAGTTAAGTACTCCTTTTACTCAATTCTTTGAAACACACATCTGAGCATTCTAATTTACAGCCAACATTTCAGTTCTTGCAATTACGCCATAAACAAAAACAAAAACCAGAGTTCAACAAATCACTAATTGCACCTTTATCATGATATGAGATAATCTCGGACTACAAAGTTTCCTGTAAGCTAAATTTGAAGATTACAGACTCTCATCTCAGGCTTAATTGGCAAATGACATACAATAAAATAGAATCCAAATAGTACAAGAAGAAGCATACATAATTCAGCAGCCTCGAAACCAATACAATCAAAAAGGCATATTGAGTGAACTCACAATTCAATGGTAAAGTATAAAAGTAAAAGGAGTTGTTGATCATCGCAACAATTTCTAATGCAAAGAAAAGGAAACCGGGAAAGCATCACTTATGATCCAAGCAAACAAAAGAGAAAGAGAAATGTTTACAATCCAAAAAGTGATTGAGAAAGAGAAAGCATTTACCTTTGTGGTGATCCAAGGAAGCTAGACTCCTGGATCTTCTACCCAAAGAAGCAACAAGTTTCACATCTCATTTTGAACCGACAAGAGACTCAATGTGCAAAGCTAGGTACAAGAATACCTGAGGCTCAGCAACACACATACCCTACAGCAAAATCCAGATGCTGCAAAAGATGTAGTGGCACACCAGTAGGTAACAAGTGGGCCACACTTGAACAAAAATAGAAAAAGGAAGAAAAAATAATCACAGAAAAAGAAAATGGAAGGGAATGCCACACAAAAATCTTATTTTGATGGGAAAAACGCAGAGGGAGAGAGAGAAAATGGGAGAATTTTACTAATTTTAGAGAAGAGAAAGAGTAAATGTGGTAAAATGGTTGGTGGGTAGCATTGTGTCTGAGGGCAGGACCAGAACAAGCTGGAAAGGAAGCTTGGTTTGCAATGAAGGAAACCAGAGAAAGAGAGAGAGAGAGAAACAGTAAAGGGAAAGCAAATGTGAAATGAACAGGTATGGTGTTAATGGATGGATGGTTAAAAAAAATATTAAAAAAAACAAAAATTGTGATGAATAAGGAAGAAAGGTAAAGTAAAGAGAGAGAGAGAGAAATAGAGAATAAGGGGAAGGGAAGGGTCAACCTCAATCCAACAGAGGGAGCTAAGCACCAAATCTAGGCTTCCTCTGATGTCATGTCTGCTCACCAAACTGTCCTATTTGTGTGAAAAGGAAAAATCTTATGCAAATCTTGAAACTTGGCACCATGCTACTATATTTCCCCTTCACATGCTAATTCAATTTGCTTTGGGTTTTGGTTTTTGGCCATATCCCAAAATTAATTATAATGTTTAGAAAATCAAGATGGAAACAAAATTTTAAAAACTTTATTTTTTTTTAAAAAGTACAGGACGTTGTTATTCAAATAAAATTGTATTTTTTAATTAAATTTAAATATATTTCTAATCTTATTAATTTTGAATAAATTTATTTTTTCCTCAAATTTAAGATTATTATTTTTAATTTTATAATTTTTAATAATCTTATTTTAATCCTTCAAATTATCAATAATATATCTAAAAATAATAAATTAATACAATTATACAATATCATTTAGTTTAATGTAATATTTTTCACTAATAAGATAATATTAAATAATTTTATGTAATAGTATTTAATAATTTTTTTAACAAAAATTAAATATTAAGATTAAAATATTTTTTTTAAAATTACAAGATAAAAAAATTAATTTGATAAATTAAAAATAAATTTACGTTAAATTTAGTGAGATTAAAAATATTTAAATATTATAATTAAAGAAAAGATAAGTTAATTCTCCGTTGCTTTAAATGTGAATTTGAGGGTTACCTCTATAAAAAGATTAATTTTGTTTATACATAACCTTGAGAATTGAGAAGTACATTCATTAAAGGAAAATTTAAATTCATCGTCTTCTTGAGTGTGATGATTTGATGGTTATCTAAAATCCGGGCATAAAGGAAATTTTAATTTTTTTTCCTAGTATTATTTAGTATGTCCAATCCTAGAGTAATTGTTTCATATTATTTTGAGAGAAAAATAAATAAATAAACAAATATTTGAAAAGATAGTAACAATAAACAATTTTTAAAAAATCATGGAAAGAAACTAACAAATATAACCATCTATACATAGAGAAGGATTAAGCATAAGTAATGAAATTGTATTATTTCTTAACAAACTAAAATTTCAGCCAAGTAAAGTCAATAAAAACATATATCTTCCACTTTCTTGTTACCCTACAACTCAAGTATATGACTTCATTTAAGAAAAATTAACATTTTTTTTGTTATGTAAACCAATAACATATAAACTAAATTTACTATTTTAAGAAATTAATTCATTACCAACAATGGTTGTATTTTCTTTTCAGATTAGATTAATTGTGTGCCTGATGTCTAAGTGTGCTCCCATAATATAAAATTCCGATGACTATGATGAGAGAATTAATTTTGTCAATACGTTTTGACTAAGCTTGATCTTCATACCTCCTGAGGGAAAATGGCAAGCTTGAGTAAACAATTGTGCATTTTCTGAGTATCATTATGGGTTTAGAGGGCCACAAAAAGCCACCAATGGAGGGAGAAATAGATACTTTGATTCCAAGCATAATTTTTTATTAAAGATAATCCGGACAAAACTTTTGCACTTTTCCTCACCTTTCTAAATTACTATTGGAATTACTGTTTTTTTATTATCTATTATTAGAATATTATATTAGTTTAACATTACTATTGGCTCAAACTATTGTTAGAGTATTTTTTTTTTATAAAAGAAATATTTACTATATAGATAACGATCGATATTCCTAATTTTTATATTAATATATATATATATATATATATATATATAT